CTTAATTTTCATTTTCATGTATTTGTCTTCATGTGGTATTAACTTACTTGATCCTTTGTACCAGAAAGTCAGAATGATGTCACTAAAACAGATATTTGTACAAATCAAAGAAGTTTTAAAATTAATAATACTGTAAGTACAGTACTGCAGTATTTTTAAATTAGAATGGCATTTAAATCCCATTAGAATTTGTTTATCCCATTCTATATCAAATGTCATAGCATTAGCTAGGAAGAATTCAGGGTATGTAGTGTGATGCAATCTGACGTGCCAGTGTCCTCTGATTTCAGTCCTTGTTTTGTATCGTGTGTGTATGTGTTTTGTCTGATTCTTTGCAGCTCTTTCCATATAGAACCTGTGCCACAGTAACAAAGTTTTCCAGCAAAAAGTAGGTTTTGAAACAGCTTCTTGAGCTCAAGGGACAAGAAGGGAGATTTGAAAGAATATCAAGTGCTGCAATAAATGGGTTTTTTTAAGTAAGGAGGTGATGTATGGAAGCAAACCAAATAGAATTTCCTCTTGTAGATTCCATTGTCCCCTTGTTTCACTCTCTCACATAATTTAAGAAAAATGTCCCCACTGATTTGTCCTGCAGGGACTGGAATAGATAAGCTCCTGATTCGAAACAGTTTAAAGCAGATCAAATTCACTGATACTTTCAGGGAAATGCAGCTGCCTTCAAATGCCTACATCTTGCGCTCCTTGAGAAGGTTTTTCAGTATGGCTCTTGACTAAATTCTGTTTCTGTTTCTGTCCAGCACATCAGGAGCTTTAAATACACAATCAACACAGTTGCACAAGTAAATAAAAAGAAGACGACATGGCAGGAAAAATTACAAATAAGTATTGGTCTCCCTGCTTCTAAACTCCTCCATGTGGCGACAGGACCTTTTTTAGCTTAACTTAGGACTTCAATGTCCAATGATTAGGTTATAATTGGAGAGATGTTTTGTAATCCTGTGAATATACCGTTGCTGTTATTACATTGTTCTGTTTGTGTATCGTTAATTTGTGCAGTTAATGTTGTCTTATTATTTTTCATTGATGTTATGATTTGTTTCTGTTCTTATGGTTTGCTGGTGTTTTTCTTTTTACTTTAACTCTTTGTTTTCCAGAGGAGGGCAGGAGTGCAGTTGACGAGGCGGGTGGAGCACAGATAGTTGCTGGCCACATTAGGTCACTGTCCCACAGTACAGACCCTGCCAGTGAGAAGCTCTTGACTGTCTTTTGTGGCATGCTGATGAACTATAGCAATGATAATGGTAATGAACCACACGGGGAAAACTACCATCCGTTCCACTTTGAAAGATAAGAAATAAGCACATCAAGGCTGCTGTTGCTAACTTTCCTTGGGAGTCATTGCCAGCACCTCTGCTATGTACCTGGGTAGGTCTGAGTGTATTAAAGTATCCAACCTCAGCCGTAAAACTGACAGTACAGTTAAAATTTAAATGTACTGTACAGTATCTAGGTGCATAGCAGTGGTTACTGAGATTACAATCACACTATAAGTGATATGATCATTATCAATACAGTTCTAGTTTTCTAATGATCATAATTAAGAAAGTCCATTTAATGCATAAATGTAGAAAAATAAATTGGGTGGTTGGTGGTTCACAGTCTGTCCTTGTTTATTTTCAAAGCCCAGCTCCCCCTGGAAACTGCGCTTAGATGTATCACAGCAGTTGTAAACTGTCTCTGAAGGCTGCTTTGCAGAGTCATCAGACTTTGTGCACACTGGTTGGTGCTTGAAGGCTATATTTGATTATTGGGGTGGTGCTGTCAGAGAGATTGCATAAATGAGGGTAATCTGACAACCCGTAAGAGATTGGTGAAGAAAAGCACTACAACTTTACCCCACACACTGTTTTATTTTTGTTTCCGTTTGATTTTCAGCAATCTAAAATTGCCTGTAGGTGATTCATTCACAGAGTGACACGTTTTGTTGTATGTCTGTTCAGAAAGAGTTTGCACATTTCAAAGTTCCTTCAACACAATATCCTTTCTTTACATTTCAGAGTAGATAGCCCTCTACTGTACAGTAAGATATTTTTCCAGTTAAATTAAACTAATTTAAACTAAATGGTAAAAAAAAAAATGTTGTAGTGATGTTGTGTTTATTGCTAACCTGGCAGTTTATGATAAAAAATTGATTTTATAGAATATCTTCAATCCTGGGCTGCCTTTAAGTCTGTGTAGTGGGCAGATGTTGAATAGGGAAGAACAGTGTTTTGATTTGTTTTTGCTCCGTCTCCAGGTGCTCTGTCCTTAGGCCCAATAAAGCCTGTGCTTGAGCTAGTATTTGCTTTATGCTCTTTCTTAAAGCGATAAATGAAGTTTTCTCTGCAGTCCCTTTTCTGCCTTCATGTGCTTTGACACACAGTTCTGTAGCGGTCAGCCTGCTGGCTTAAGATGAGGAGGAAGCCAACAAAGTTTCCATAGTTGGAACTTCCAAGGTCAATGATATCCTTTTAACTAAAGTGCCCATGGTTTAAAGTCTAGAACATACCAAAAGGTCATACACAAGAGAAAGCCATTGAGCCTGTTAGGTAGTTAATTGATTCAGGCATCTCATCCAACAGTTTCTTGAAGGAAGCCAGGGTATTGGCTTCAACAATAAGGATGGGTAGCTGTTCCAGACTCCCATAATCCTTTGTGTCTCCTGTTCTCAGTTTAAAGATGTTCTTTCACGTGGAATTACACAGTGTCAAATAATGAGTGTGGTTTCTGTTTCCTGGAAGTGATTAGGTATAAATGAAAGGAATAATAATAATTGGAACTAAAGGTAAAAGGATTAATAAAACTTTCCAACTAAGTAAGCAAAATGGACAATCATCTGAAGATTGATGTTATAAAATAATTAACATTTTTTGAGCAATTACTCCTCTCTATATCACATTCTATTTTACTAAAGTTGATCAATTTGTATCTCTAATATATGACCTAAACATAATGTTCTGTATTAATACGAGATGTTTAAAGTTCTCACCTTGATTTGTGTTTTAAGACTGCGTGAAATAAAATAATTGTACATTTACTGGCTGTTCTTACATATATTCAAGGAAGCCTCGCATTGAATTTTACTGAAACTCATGCTTTATGATTGCGTTACTCTTGACACTTACATGGAAGAAAAATCAAAAACTAAAATGTGTTGATTGCATAAGAATATACCCTTTTTATGATGGCAAACAGAAATTACTTTGTTGTACAGTAGAATGGCCTCTCAGTGTGCAATAATAGTGGTTCATATTACTTCAAAATAAATACATCTGTCTGTATAAAGCCAGTCAGTCAGGTAGGGAGTTTTTTTTTTAAAGCAAAACGTTAATCGTGACCACCAAGAACTTGTCAAAACAACTCGGGAATAAAGATTCAGAAAGGCACAGATCAGGAGAAGGGTGGGCACTAATTTTAGGCACTGAATATTTGAGCATGGTGAAGGTTTTCATGGAGAAGTGGAAGATGGATCATACCACCTAGACTTCTGGGCTAAAAACTGGGCACACAGGGAAGGAGGAATCGTGTCAATGATGTCACTGTAAGACCAGCAGCGAAAAAAGCTACGGAGCACAGTGGCTGAGATGCAAGAAAACGTCAATGAATCAGTACAATCCTAGTCACTGCACAACCGAGTCACTCCACGAAGCTGAACGAATGGAAACCCATCTCAAATCCTGCTTTGAGTTTGCAACTAAACACCTTTTTTTGGGCAAAAGGTTTCATGTTCAGAATAGACAAAATGATAACCTTTTAGTAAAAATGCAAAGTGTTGCATTTGGTGCAAACCGAACACCGTGGATCCAGACAATACCGTCCCCGCTGTCCAACATGATTGAGCCTGTATTATGTTATGAGGCTGCTTCTCATCAGCAGGCACTGGGACACTTCAGAAGACTGAGGGGAAAGAGATGGAGCAAAGCACAGGCAAATCTCGAGGAACATCTGCTTCAGTCTGCTAAAGACCTAAACCTGGGGCAAAAGTTCACTTGTCACCAGGATGTGACACAAAGCACAAGGCCGAAGCTACATTGGCGTTACTTAGCCAGAAGAAAGTGAATGTCCACGAGGGGTCCAGTCAAATTCAGACTCGAACCTGATCGAAAATCTGCAACGAGACTTTGAAAGTTGCCGTCGCAAATCATTATTGCTGTCGCAAATGGATTGTGACAGTTTGTTGGAGCAATTCTGTGTTTTAGAAAAGAACAAGATTCCATCTTCTGTTTCTCGTAAAGCAATATGAGCCTGTTTCCCCCCCTACATTCATCTTTAAAAAGATGTCTTCAGTTATTTTTTTTCTAGAATGGTGGGGAGCCAGCACAGACCATTTCCTACCCCCTAGAAATAAAACAAAAAGATTGTGGGTGGTAATGTTGAAAAAGGGAAGAGTGGGAGTAAAAAATAAAAGGCAGAAATGGAGATGACTTGTTTGAATGAATGGCTATGGAGACATAAAAAAAACGGTTTAAAATGGAATGTATTTTTTTTAGGACGGGCCTTATGCATTCTTACATCTGGAGAAGGAAAGAAATCATTACTCCTAGTACACAATCAGATCTTACTGAGTTTAAAAATCAGCAGCTTCTGGAATGGTAATTATTCCTTATAAATTAAATTCTGCAGGAGGCAGTGGTCTATTTTAGTGTCCGACTGTTCATAAATTCTCACTATGCCAAACTTAACGTTCATTAGTTTTCGCTAATAGCTACATTTTCTGTGTGACCTACCATGTGGCTGTTGCAGATACAGTATGTGCTTCCCAGAAAGCTTTCTAAATTCTTTAAAATGTCCTGCCCTGTCAAGAAACTGGAATGTACAGTGTTTTGAGAGAAAGATGACATTTAATTGGAAAGAAACTGCAAAATGAGGTACAGCTGACCTCAATGAGTAATTAGCACACAGATGTGGTGAAATTCCATGTGAGCAGAGGTGTCTGATGTGATAGGCTCTGGAATTAATCCCTCCTTCGGGCTAATTAAAAGGTTTGGAAGACCAGTTAGGGGGGAAAAAGGTTTCTTTCAAGGAGGAAACACAATAGCCCTCTCTAGAAACAGATGGCGCTGGTTTGCTTGTAGGCAGTACAGTAGTTCGTTTGCCAGGATCGATGTAGTTGACGTGCACTGTTGAGGGACAGGTTGGCCAGCTGAACCAGGCCTCACTGGAGACGTTGGTACCCAGAGGACTAGGGCATCTTCACCCCTTAGCTGTGAGAGAAAATTCATCCTCCCTGGACTTTCCCGCCAGCAGATAGGTGGGCTGTCTCTGACTGTAAGATAAGAGAGACAACAAAGCTGTTGCTTTGTCAAGGAGACGAGTGTTGGTTACAGAGAGGCCCGTTTGGCTCTAGGCCACAACACTAGGCTTGAGGTTTAAACCAAGATGGTGGCTATGTGCAAAGTTCTCTCTCATTACCTCACATAGGGTTTATGGTTCTTCAAAGGTGTTTAATGATATACTTCATTTTTAACACGTCAAATAATAAGAAGTTACACACATAAAATAGTCAGATGAAACACCCGAGTAATTTACCTTCTCTGGCAGCTCCTCACCTTATTCACTCACCTGCTGTGTGTTATGGTGCGTTCATGTTGGACATCCCCTGGGTCAAACCTGTTTTCCATCTCTTTAAAAACAGTGCCACTCTGTAGAGAAACAGCTGATGAATTTAACAATGAAGTCTGACTGTAGTCAAAGAGAAAAAAATACTCCAGCTCCAGTTAATTATTCTTCAGTTTCTGTTTTTGTTTTGAAGTTTTTTTTCATTACATTTGAAAGTTAATGATTTTAATTTTCACAAGTGTCGATTGATAGACAAAAAGCTATCAAAGCTATGGATAGTTGATGATTGCCAGTCCAGGGATAGAGAGTTCTGTAGATATGAATAAAAATCCAAAGGAGCACAAATCGGATAAGTATCTGTCTTATTCGGAAACGCTGAATAAGTCAGACAGAGCAACGTACATGTTAAACAGCAATTCATGATGCTGTTCAACATTCCAGTGTTCAACGTTATAGAGACTGTTCTATTTAGTAATTGATCCTCACTGCCACAAACTGCCAACAAAAGAGTAACCTACTTTTCTTTTTACTTTAATGATCAATTAAAGTCACAGTTACCCGTGAACACCCACAGTGTTGATGAGGCTTTTGAAAAAGTATAATTAAGGTGCACAGATTTCTGTCCATAGTTATGCTTACAACTTAAAATGCAGTCTTCGTATGTATTCACGTCTGAATTCTGTTAATATGCAGATATTAGTGTAGGGTCAGAGTAAAATGTTTGAGAATGCAATTTGTTTTCAGTCTTAACAGGTGGGGAAAAATAGATCTGTACGCATCACTTAAAATTGGAAGGAAAAACATGACGGAAAAAAAACATGTTGCTCCCATATATTATACTCTGTATATTTGAGCGCTTACAGTGTAGAAAGGAGACACTTTGTTATTAAAAGTTTGTCTGGAATGCCTTTTGGGGAAAATACTCAGTGTACTGTTGGTCTGGAGACAGCATTAATTACAAGTCTACCGTGTAGATTCTTAATGGCCCAGCAGGAGTCCTGCAGATCTGTGTGCTGCCTCACTTTCTTTCTGTGAAAGAAAAGTCCTGATACTTTCCAGCTGCTCTGCCTTCTGAAACTTTGATCTAATTCTTCATCTGTAGCACTGCTCTCTTTCTCCTGTGCCTTTTAAAATGTCTGAATTTGGTAGTGGGGAAATGCTCTGCACATTTCCTCCAGTGCTTTGCATGAGGAGGTGACAATTAACAAGTGGCAATTAAGAGGAGATTAATATAGGTCTGGAAAAAGAAAGAACTTTTCTGATGGAGGCGAAACTACTGTATATATTTATTTAAAGAAAATGGTACTTGCTGTGATATTCTTTTTGTTGTAATAAAAAGGACCAAGTTGCAGATTTGCTATCATTAGAAACAAGACAAGTTTGTTTCCTTACTTATTTTCTTTAGTTATAGTATGGTTCTACTTCCATGTAATCAACCTTTCTGTTGACCATTTTCTATCATTTTTCCAACTAATACTGGGAGGGTATGCATTTTTCACAAATTGATTAAATTTCTCTTTAAGCGTTTTGTTCTTTTCTGTTTTTTTTGGGTGGTAGGGTTATCTGTTCTTAAAAGTTCACACCTAATCCCTATTCTATGAAAACTAAACTGAATGCCGTAATACCTTCAAAAAATTATAATAATAAAGCCACTGTAAAAATATGAAGCAGCAAGGTTACTGTATGTGAATTAATCAACCAGTAAATGTTCTTCCCTTGACACATGTTCTCCTCCTCTTATAGGTGGAACATTTCTTATTGGAATCATTAGTTGTGGTTTTACACTGTGAAAAGATTTTAACTTGTTTTGTAACGACTGTTGTTTTACCTGTTTTTTAATGACAGTTTAAAGGGGAACTGCAATGCTATTTTCATATTTTGACTGAAATAATCAGCATTTATAAGTGCATTTTAAACCACATTTAACCACATGTACACAGTAAATGTTAAACTTCCAATTTACATCACAAAATAGATGACATTTCCAGGTAAGTGCAGTGCCATTTTCTGTGATTCAGAACGAGGAAGCAAAACTCAGGTGACGTGTGAGGCCCTGTGACATTGTAAACAAGCAGGCTTATGAATACATTGCTTTTGATCCAATAAAAATATTGCTCTCGACTTTGAGACAGTTTTGCTGACAAATACTATTTTCTTGTTAACTCTGCATGCAGATCACGTTGGAACATTTCTGTGGTGAAATGTCTTTTGCACGATCTGTATTTATTCATTTGTACATCACATCACATTGCATTAGTCATTAGGGATACTAGTGAGCAGGAAGGGCCGCGTCATGTCGCAATTCATGGGAACTCAAATGCAAGTTTGCGACAACACAAAGACTTAATTCAAAATTGATATTTTTTCTTTGAAATCAATCAATTTATTTTGTTACTGAGATTTTAAAAACCAGTCTGAAAAATTGGGACTGCAGTTCCTCTTTAAAACAGCTCTGGAAAAAAGATTTTAAACTCCTTTGAAATCATTCTGTTTCTTAAACTGATTCTCACAAGCTTATTTGCATTCTTAAAGGCTTTTCAGAAAATATTGAGCACAATATAAGGAAACAAGTTGGTGTTATAATATAACAATTTCGTCATTCGTCAACTTATTGATCAATAGTTTTCTTAACAAAGTTGAGCTTGGAGCAGGAAATTTTCTCTTCTAGCCTCTTCCTACTGTGTAAACCCCAGATAAAGATTACAGGCAATGAAAAACAGAGCTTCAGAATAGCGATGGACCTTCTTGCTGTCGAAAACAGTAATATGCAGATAGGGAAGGTTCATAATTTCTCTTGCTGGAAAGCGCGGGGGTTAAGCAGGCACATAAATGAAAAGCAGCCAGCTGGAGCCTTAAGCTGTGTCTTGATCCACTGTGAGATCAGTACAGCCCGTGTTTTGTTTTTTTGCTCTCCTGCTCTTTCAGGAGTGAAGAAGCATTGATAGGTAGCTCTGCACAGCCAATCTACTGTGCGCAACAGCTGTGTTGTCAATCACAAGCAGACATAACCATGCAGACTGCGTGTAAAGAGACAGGGATGTCACTGATGTTTTCTGTGCCATGAGAATAAGGTACGCTGATAAAGGGACTGTGTTTGCCCACATGCCTTGTCTGAACTGGTGTAAAGCAAGGATTGCCCTTTATAGAGCTCTAACATGGCCGTTACACACTGGTTAGTAAACTCATTACTTAGCTGTATATTTTCTTTGGCCATTTCATAAGCATGGGCTTTGCATCTTTTTAACCTAAATCTGTTTTTTTTTTCTTGCTTGGTGCTGTTTTATTGGCTAACTATTTTCCAGCAGTCCTCATCTCTGTATGTGTCTTTCTGAATTCAGGGCTCTGTATGTTGTTTTACAGTGCATCGGGTACTTGATTGTGAAGATTTCTTATTTTTTTTAATCACGTATCTTATCAGCGAGGTAAAGGTGTTTCTTCTTAAACAGGGTACCTTTACCTTGGTTCTGGCTTTTACTTTGGGTATGTTTTTCCTTTCTGAGCCACGTGCCTGTAGTGTCTCATAGGTGTTTCCAGCACGCTGCACTGGCCTTGTGTAAAATCTCTTGGGGGGACTACCCACACATGCTTATTTGGCAAATACTTTCTGCTGATTAACTCTGGGCTTTCGGCCCTCCTCCTGTTAAGTGTAACCACAAAACATTGATGCGTTTCCAAAATCTTGTAACAAAAGATATGGTTTTCACCCACAGAATGCCTGTCCCGTGATTTGGAAACAGTTCCTCCTTATAATTGAGCAGACCTTACTTGTAATGGTCTTACCAACAGCATTGTTTTAGGTTTCTATAGATATGTAATATTTGGATTTTCTCATTTGCATTCATAATTTAAATTTGAAAGATTTTGGAAACTCACAAGTGATATACAAGAGTGTGGAGATTATGACAGAATCTGTTGTCTGAAAAAACGATATAGTTTTAACACCACTTAATGTGTGAGTATTTTTGACATTATAGATCTGGACTTTTATTGTATTTGTTTTGTATGTATGCTTTTAAAAGCACTTAATGGCATTACACGTCGCCCTACACAATCTGGGTTTTGATCCATGTCCTTCCTCTTCCTCCAGATACTTTGCAAGCACAGCTGATCAACATGGGTGTGATCCCCACTCTTGTGAAGCTTCTTGGCATCCACTCCCAGAATGCATCACTCACAGAGATGTGTCTGATTGCGTTTGGGAACCTGGCAGAACTTGGTAAGCTTGTCTGCATCTCCTCTTGCTCCATATGACCGTGTTAAACGAAAATTCCTCCCATCTCAAAGGAGAGCTGAGCTGAACTATACCATTCATTGAAAATCTTTTATTTCAGAGGCTTCTGGAGACTGCACTCACCCCTTACAACTATGCGCCACTGCCCTGCCTGAATAGACAAAGAAATTGTCTACCTAAATTCTTCGTACGCTGCCTTATCATGTCTGTGGTTTGGCCAGCCAGTCACCAGCATTCCCAGAAAAATATTCCTCCCTGTGCTAAAATATCAACTTGGAATGTCTCTTTCAATGTTAAGAACAATACCACATCACAATTCTAGTTTGAAAGTTCACTACTGAAGTAAACCTTAATTTAGCCAGATACTGTACATCTGGGTTTGCACATAAGATCTCTCCCCCAGAAAAGTGATTGTTCCAGCATTGCCCTGGCAATCACAGAAGGTAAATATCCAATTTAACTCTTTACATTCATCCCTAAGTTGGCTAATACAAAGAAAGTCCTCACAGCTCTACAGCTGTGACACACTGACCGTCCTTGTTAGAAACCTTGTGTTTATGGTGTGTAAAAAAAAATGTCAGTTAATGGTGAATGTTGAATAAATCTGTTGAGATCATTTGCCTTCACATGAACTCTGCTTAGCTCAAATGCAGTTATGTTGGAATGGCCAGCAGGTGTTAACATTTACTCTATGTGTATTTTATGTCAGACTAGAAATTTGAAAAATAATAATGCAAACATACTGATTCCAATAAACAAAATGTAAAACAAAGTAATGTTTCTTAATAAAAAAACACTGTTGTTTTTATCAGGTGGATTTATATAGTGCCTTTCATGTCAAATCCTCCCAAGGTGCTTTACAGAAAATCTAAAACATTTGTGGGATTTTGCAATTGTGCAAAGAAGAACAGTCAAAAACTTTAGTGTCCAGATGTGCAGAACTGGTAGAGACTTTTGGCTGTAATTTCTGCCAAAGACAAAATACTCAAGGGGGGTGAATACTTAAGAAATTAGTAAGTTCCGGTTTTGTATTTCTAATTAATTTAGGAGGATAATTGACATTATTTTATATCGATCAATGACAAAAAAAAACAATTACATTACGATTCCATAGTCTAACACAATAAAATGTGACGAAGTCCAAGAGGGGATAATATTTTTCATAACAACTGTAAGTAAAATACAGTATGAATAACATCAGAATTATTGTCACCGGGTCTAACAGAAAGCTGTGTTTTATTTACATAGCTGTGAACATTTGTGCCATATTTGCTAACATTCTCACCTACTGGTAGCTTTTATAGAGAAGATAACTAAGAGCCCAGAAGTGATTCCAGTGGAATGCCACATGTATTGTTGGTCAAACCTTACGCACACTATATTGTCTATTACATATGCTTTAAACCAGTTCAGAACAATTTCCTAAATACCAACTCATTCTCTAAGATTAATTACAATTAAATGATTTGGGGTGTCAAAGCAGTGCCTAAATTTAAAAGAACCAAAACTAAAGATTAACTAACTTTAATTTGAAGGTCATTTACAGTACGTCTTTGACTAATGCGGTCTCAGTTCTATGATAGGAATGTCATCAAAACATTTATCTGTTTAAATACTGCCTTTTTAACTGAATTGGAAGATTTGAATATATCTGATGTAACTTAGTACTGGACCAAATTAGATTTTTTTTTAGTAAGAGTTTAACAAGGACAGTTTTATGTAAAAGTATATGGAAATATCCCCACAGACAGAAGGCTATTAGAACTGTAACAAGGACATTGCACAATCTAATGACTACATCCTTCAAACATTTAGCTGGTATTGACCTAGAAGATAAAAGGTAGTAATATTTAATTGTTTTAATTTCATTTCATGCTTAATTCTTGCATGCTAGTCAAAGGGAACGGGTTCATTTCTGAATCATGTGATGCAATTAATTGTACATTATAATTAGAATAATTTCCTAATAACTTTTATTTTCAAAATATGGAAATTTAAGTGCTTAATAAATGAGGCCTTTGTGTTCGCTTCAAAATTGAGTGAGGTATTAATATAAAGTGCAGTATCAAGTGTTGAGTGTTCTAGATTTTCTCTTCTACAATAAACTTAGTAAAAAAAGCGCATCATCCTGATCTTTAAGCTTAATAGTACTTCTGTAACAGTTGCCCCAGAATATCAGAATTTACACCTGATTTTATAGTTCTCCAATTACATTCTGCTTTTGGACAATTTCATTTTATTCAACAGATGGCAGTGTTGAATAAACCATAACAGTATTTGTGAGGAGACCATTTTAATTTTTCCTGGTGCCACACTACAGTATCAACACCGTTTTCTAAATGGCAGACATATTTATCGACTAACTTATCATTTGTTATCAAGCTAACAAAACCAAAAAGAAACAGACTAATTTAGGAACCCTTTGAAGGGCAGGACCGTTAAAAACTCAACTTTTGAAAGTCTGTATGAAATCCTCAGGTAGCTGTAAATAAAAAGCAACAATGATGAGAGAGCAAGATCTGGAGTATAAAATATATACAAATTTTCAGTTTGCAAGAGGACACTACATCTGTGTAACCAGTGTCTAGGTACTGTAACATCCTGTATAAAATCAAAGATGTCTGACATCTAAAAAAATCTACAGCCTCCAAACCAGTTTCACTGTCAATATGTGAGTTAAAATTTCCAATTAAAAGAACGAACTGATAGTAAGGCTAAAAACACAATTATTATACAGTAATTCCTTCATCGAGACTACACAACACGATACAATAACATGCATATACTGCAGCAAAAATATAACACCGTCATTTTTAATGAGCAGCATCTACACAAAGTCCTTGTCAGTCTTCCCTCATCTTCTTATCTGGAGTTTTGCTGTACATTATCAGATGAAACTATATCTCGTTAAGCATCATTGCAAATAATTGCATGACAGTCATATCATTTGCACAATTGGTTTTAAAGAATTATGCACGTTAGGTCATGTAGTGATTATGGATGAGTTCCGACCTCATTCAACTAAAGTGGTAACAAAGAGTCCTATCAGTGGGAGATAATTCCAAAAATGTACAGGAAGTCATCTGTAGTATTAAAGGCAAAGGTTGCAAAGAAGAAGAAATCCTCAATACAGTACATGTGAATCTATATTGATGGATAGAGGACTAGACAAACCAGCTACATAGTCTGTGGTTGGGTAGTGCTTTACATATTCTGGAAATGATAGGTTGTTTCTCCTGTCTTTAATCGCCTTGTCGTTACACTGCAGAATCGAGCAAAGAACAGTTTGCCTCTACAAATATCGCTGAGGAGCTGGTGAAGCTCTTCAAGAAGCAGGCGGAGCATGAGAAGAAAGAGATGATCTTTGAGGTCTTGGCTCCTTTGGCAGAGAATGGTGAGTACTTAATTATTATAGCTTCCTGAGGCTCATTTGCAGTCACGTCTCTCTTCACAGTCTCTTATATCAGCCAAAACTGACAGTTCTCAGTTCCTTGATCGTTTCACACAGGATGGATTTAACAGTTCAGATCTCTATCTGTGGTTGGCCTGCACCCATGACACAGGATAAGACAGTCTGTTCTGCCTTAATTGCATCTGTCAGTTGGATCTATGGTAAATATTTAGTACCATTGAGTGTTTTGTAAGATGGTTTAGAGTGCTATTATCAAGAAAAAAAACTGTGATCTAAAGAGCTTAAAGGAATGTACCCTGCCGCTAATAGAGTTGACTCCAGTTGTTATCATGCTCTTCCATCCATCCATTTTCTAACCATTTTATCCAGTAGAGGGGAGCTCGAAACTATCCCAGCAAGCAACGTGTGCGCAAGGCAGGATACACTAGATAGGCCATCAGCACATCACAGGCCACACACAGGCACAGGTGCGCACACACCCACAACAGGGCCAATTTTCCCTGAATCCAATCAACCAACCAGTATGTCTTTGAATTGTTGGAGGAAAGCTACGCGAACACGGGGAGAAGATACAAACTTCACCAGTAACACCGCAGGAATTGAACTCAAGGATCCAGCGCTGTGAGGCAGCAATGATAACCACTGCGCCACTCTGCCACCTTATTCATGTCCTTGATGCAATGTTGCTAGAAGTTGGTTACATGTGTTGCAGAAATAAATGAAAATTTGGTATTCGATTATCAGTTTGTTTGAAATAAGCCTGCATGTAAATAGTAAAGGACATCAAAGTTGGTCCTTTGCACACTGGTGTGTGTGGGTTTTAAAAGTTGCCACATGCTACCCACTGTATACCATTCTAAGTGACACAAATTGCCTAAAATTGGCATATGGCATATAAGCAACTTTCCCTGTTTTGATTGTGTAGTACAAGGAGCCCATTTAGAGGGCTAAAACTACATTTCCCTGTTGGCCATGGCTTGATTGAGAATCTCTGAGTTAATTGAGCACAGTGTAAAGTATAAAGGTGTGGCAGAACAGATTGGTTTGTCTGTGTTTAAAACCAGGCAGTTGCACTGAAGACTGAAGTTACAACAGCTCCAAGAAAAACACAAAATGAAAAAGATTAAACCTTTTTGAACCTGAACATTTAATAGTAGGGATATTCCACAGAAAGTCTAGAATTGTAGAAGTTTATTTCTTCCATGGTTGTTGATATAATTGGGAGTGTTTAATAGCCACCTGCCTGTTTTTGCGAGCGTTTGTTTGAAAAATTGTTGATAATTTTTAAAAATAAATCCTTTGTGATAGCAGTACCACACAAACTCTTCCATATAGACAACATGTCAGAAAGAACCTAGCCATGGTGAACTATTCCCCAGTGTCACACATGTTTCAAGTGTATCTCATGTGAAAAAGGAATGATTTAGTGCATATTGCCTTCCCCAAATCCTGTGCAGTCCCCTTCAAGATTACTCTCTCCTTCAGATGTTTAAGCCAATATTGAAACCAGCTATACAACAGTTTAAAGTTCCTGCCTTTCCTGAATAACATATGTAACTTCTTGAAATAATTTTCATAATGCAAAAAACATTAAAGTTCTAAGCATCCGTAACTTAGATAGATACTTTAATCCCAGCAATACCAGTCTGTGTTTTGTAGATGATGTATTTATTAGCACATTTGATCTTTAATACTTTTAATTTATTCTTGTCTCTACCCCCTGCCTTAACTTCAGTTCGAGAACCGACATCAGACTCATGTTTTTCAAAGGAAAAACTTTGTTTCTCTGGAGAAAGATTAGTGTTTTTCTGACTTTCATGTCTGAGCTGTAGATGCACTAGGACTCGCTGTTTGGGCTAATTTGACAATATTAACAGATTTTTAAATCAAGAGCTTTTCCAGCTGAATTACCCAGTTCAAATCCTTGATGTATGTACTGTATATAGCCTTGGTTGTGAACTTTGACAGGGGTATCTCAACATGTATCTACCTGTTAGCAAAAGAGTGCTGTTCTTGTCCATAATTTAATAAACCTCAGTGACAGATTAGGCCAAAAGAGCAACGCATGGCCGCCTGTTCTATTTTGATCTGATGAACTGCAGCAACAGGCAAAACTGACAAGCCTCAAGCGTATGTAACAAGGATCTGTGATTTGGGTCCAGTTCAGTAGCATTTACCTGCTTCCTGGTCTTAGTGCCTTCATATAATGAAGAAGGGGAAATATGTGAGATGTCTTTCTTTCCCTCTCACTCTGAAGAAGCAAGGAAGGTTAAATGGAATGTTAGACCCCACTGTGTGACAATTAACCCTTATTCAGTGATGGGGGGGCCTGTAAGAGATCCCCCTTGATAGGAGCTTACCAAGCTGCACATAAACTCGGCCCGATGGGAAGGAAGATTAAATGGCCCAGGGAACCACCGAGTTCTACACTACCTTTCCTTCCTTGTCGTCTTTCTTCTGCAGCCCATTTAGCTTCAATCCCTGTAGCAGGGGAAGTTCCTCGTCCGATGAATTCCAGTTTGGCTGGTCTCGTTCTTTGCCTTCTTTCTTACAAAAACCTTCAATTTACATCACAAACAAAATTTCCAGGTGTGTGCAGCGCCTTATTCTGCGATTCAGAACGAGGCAACACCGGTGAGGTGAAGCTGCCCTATTGTATTGTAAACAACCAGGCCTGTGAGTACTGTACATCTCTTTTAATCCAGTACTAATATGGCTCTCGATCTTGAGATGATTTGGCCAAAAAATACAACTTGTTAACTCTACATTCAGATCACATTGGAACATTTCTGTGGTGAAATATCTGCTGCACAACCAACACTTAATTTACTCATATATTGTATTACATTAGTCATTGTGGTGACTAGTGAGCAGGAAGGGCCATTTTGTGTCGCAATTCATGAAAGCTCTCGCCCATGGCAAGATTTGCAACAACATGGCCACTATACACTGCTTTCACAAAATTCACGATTTTGTGCTTAATTTGGAATTTGACAAATTTTGTGATGCCGTCAATTTATTTTGCTACCGAGGTTTAATAACTGGTCTGAGAAATTGGGACTGCAGTTCCACTTCAATAAGAAAAGGTCTTTACCGGGCTTCATCCACCCAAATATGTTGTTACCTTTTAAAATAAACACCTCCCGTGGATCTGGGCCTGAGATCATTCACAGTTTCCCCTATTTCCTTATGCAAATATGGGGAATGTATCTGGTGGTTCAACCCCAATTCTACAGTTCTGGTTCATCCGCTGTGCTCTAAGGCTGTAAGGTTGTGCCCAGGAAGTTGTGAGAGTTGGGTGGGATTTTAAATACCTGAGGTTCCTATAATGAAAGTGCTGACTCCTGTCAATGGGATCAATTCTCTAAGTTAAGTGGCAAACAGTTTGATGTGTAAGGGAAGGGGATTGTTGCAGTGAGTGACTGATCATGTTAAATCCATTTGGAATTGCTTATTGCACAGGATACATCATGACTTAAAGTGCATTTCTTATTACGTCTGTATGAAACAATGTATTACCTAATAAGTAATTACATTAAAAATACGCACGCTCATTGCAAAGTGGTAGCATTTTTTCGTTTGTAATTTCTTTTTTCGTTTATTGTAGGTAATTTGTATAACTCTCCAGCTGTTACAGAGCAAAAAGATCCAATTGATGGATGTAACAGTCATTTTCCTGAACAGTCCCACAGAGAATCAGATCTGAGGCAATTAATTCCACACTGAAATACAGAGAGAAGAAACTCAACATTTCGGCTGTTGAGCTTTCTTCAGGCTCTTCTGATTTGTCATTGGACCTGTTATTCACAGTGTCATCTCTCATCAGTGTCATCCTTGCCCAGCTGCTCAGTTTGGAGGAGCAGTCTGGTCGTGGCAGTGTCTAAGTGGTATAATACACCTTCCATTCCTGGATAATACTGTAGAATGTGCTTACAGGGACATTCAGAGAATGCAGTAGTTTTTGTACCATTCTCATGATCACTATCATGACTTTTCCTTTTTCTTTCATGTTATCTACAGTAACTCAGTAAACAGCAAAGAAAGTTTGGAGGCTGTAATTCTGCCAAAGGGGATGTTACTAAGTACTGACTTTTGCACATAGCACATTTACTGTTTTTTTTTCAATCTGTTAAATTCAGCAAATAAATAGTAACTGTGCATTAAAATTTGTGTTTTCACTTAGAAAATCAACAAAACATGTAATTTGGCCAAACGTTTGCAACTGTATATAACAGTTGCTATTTGGTATTTGAAACTGTTAGGACTGCAAGCTTGAAAGCAACATAATGTGAAAACTATGCAAGCATCTGAATACTTTTGCAAGGCACAGTGTATGTGCGTATCACAGGCAAATAATCCTAAATGTGTAGCATTTATGGTAAACCTTACTTTACCTTCAGGAAACTGTAAGGAATTTGTTTTGTCAGGAAGTGTTGGGTGATTTCTGTTGGCTCTGTGTTGTGTTTTCAGGGTAAAAGAGAAAAAGTCCTATTAATGGAGGTATAATATATTGTTACAGTTTTGGGTGACTGAGAAGTGTCTTTAAGACTTTAGATAAAATTTTGTGACACTGGGAAAAGTAAACACTTCTAACTACAAAGCAGAGAGGGTGTTTGCCGAGGTCTGGGGGGTCCCTTGAGCAGAAACAATAGAAAAGTTTATTATAGTGTGCCTAGCCAAGTTGTGGATTAATGATTGCAAAGGAGCAGGGCAGAAAGACACAGTATAAGTTCACCTTAAGAGGAAAAAAAGGAGGGGAAGAAGGAGAGGAGAGAAGGAGAAGCAGGTAGAAGAGAGAGGAGTCCGGAGGAGTTGGGACTTGAAGCTTGCACCAGGGGAGAGCTCCTTTGTCATGATCATCCAAACAGAACCTGATTGGAGCTACAGTAAGTACTTGAACCCTGTTAGAGAGGGCAGGCTTTTCTGTTTATCAGGGAACTTGGGTTTCCTGGGTAAAAGATACCTCAGTTACAAACGTCTTTCCTGATTAGGGTGTGTTTTACGGATCGGAATCTAGGCTCCCATTTAATTTTTGGCATCCAGGGTGCAGAGACAAAGATTTAACTGCAGGCAGCTCATCTCTTGTGTGGCCTCTGTAGGCATATTAAGAGTTTAGTGCTTGGTAGCAGTCTGGCGTTTTCTGTGTAACCAGAATGTTAGGCCTCTGAAATGCCTTATCTGTAAATACTGTATAAAATGTAACTTTGTGTGTTGTATGTTTTGTGTGGTTTATTTGTTTTAACCAAATGTGCCTGGATTATTACTCCTCTCAACAAAGCTGTGCCAGAGTAAAGTATTCCCTTGCCTCTAATTATACCAGCCGCTCAGGTATATGGTTAGAAATCATGTACATGTTGGAGGTTATGAATAATTATTTCACTTATTGACTAAGCTGCTCGGTCAATTCCTGATTTTTACCAGTTTCGTAACCCCGCATTTGTAACAATACACTATGTTGTGGCTTTGTGTAACACAAAAGGTAATAATTTCCTATATCCCATGAATTTTATTTTGTGTCTTCAGAGAGAATGTCTTTAATACACATTCGGATTTGCTTATTTTCTGAAAGAACATTTGGATGACATAACAGCAGAAGGCTTTGAAAATTGCTTATACACTATCTTACAAAGGAGGTTTTTTATAATTAATTCATTTTCGTACCATACTTTACTTTCCTCCTTAAAGCAAACCGTATCTTTAAAACATGTCTGTGTGTTCATCAAACCATCTTCAAAAATATTTAAAAAATGATGGTTCTTTTTAAATTAAAAGGTTGTTTTTTGTTGTTGTTGTTATTGTTATGTTTTCAATAAGAGGTTTGGATTGTAGCCTGCCATAGTTGTAAAGGTCTCATTTACCTTGATCATTGACGACCAGATTGTTTACAGATCTGTAAACAATGTTTTTTTTTTAGCAGAGGAGTGTTTACTCTGAGAAAATAATGCTCTGGAAATAAAAAGAGAGGATTATTATTGTTATTCTGGTCACAGGCAGCCTTTCTTGTACAGTTAGTCTCCAAGACAACGTCCTACTTTAGCAGCTACAGAAAGGATGATTGCTCCCTCACGTGGTCAGGACTGTTAGGAGAGCAACTCCAGTTTTCCTAAACGCACAGCATCCTCTCCCTACATAACGCTCAGCAGGGCTCACCCAAGGTTGTGATTTATCAGAGCTGAAAATGAATAGAGGTGTATGGTCTTGGAAGGAAATCCCAGCTTTAGGAATCAGATTATGAATCCCTTCGGGTGTGGAGGGGAAGATAGGAAAGCTGGTCCCGGGAATGTGAATCTTACCATCCTTGACAGCAAGAACTTGCATTTTCTTCTGCTTTTAATTCTTTTAATTTTTTGGCCTTTCTTCAAAGCCCAGGCTTCCCACTCATTATGGGAGTCGAAGATTTAGTGAGAAGGTATTGAGCTGATATAATGTATACTCCCGGCGTTTCAGTGTGCTGGTGAGGTTCGATAAAGATAAAACATGTAAGAATTTGCACATACCTTTGAGGACAGGACCTTTCAGCGCCTTTTCTGCTGAGGCACAAATTAAAACATTACTGAAATCAGCAGAAGTGAGTTAAAAGTTAAATATATGACAGTCGTTGTGTGGGTCTTTTTTTAGCGTCCTGATAAATTAACTACGTCCCCCCTTCAGTTTTAAATCTTTTTCTGCTATGGGTCTGAAGGCACCATCACTATTGTAGTTGTGTAATCCATGCCAACGACAAGTCCCACGTTAACAGATAAAACTTTCCTATGGTATCTAAAAGTCTGAGTGCTAGCACCCCAAGGTATTTTGTGACCAGTGTTTAAAAACGTTTTGCATTTTGCATGAAGAAAAATAAGTCTGGCAGTTGCTAAGCATGTCAGCTCCTTAAAGCTTTCTGAAATGAAGGCTCAGTTGTTCAGTTTGTGATTTCCTGGAGAGCAGTAGAGTGGCTCGTGGCTGGGGTGATTATAACTTGCAACAGAAGAAAAGCTTTGTGCGTTTATGTTAATTAAAGAGCAGTGCAAAGGAACAAAAGAGACTGATGCACTTGGGTGAAACAGGAAATGGAATTTTTTACATGGCTAGTTCCTCCTGTATTTTAAAAAACAAAAGGTCTAAAAATTAAAATAGGCAGGATTGCGCTCAATAATTTAAGTAACCTGACCAGCAGCTAATAAGCCTTCCATTTTTAATTTGTGGTAAACCAAATCTGAACTATCAAACACAATTCTGTGCAGTTCCACACAAAATTGTATTCTGTAGTAAATAAAAATTGAAACTGTTCCCTAGTTCCAAGGCAGCTTCATGCATCAGATAGTTTGAGCTGCAGTTCAAAAAGAAATAAAATGGATTTTGAAGAAGGGTTGATGTATTATAGATCAGTAGCCTTTCTAGACTGTTTATTTACTCTCTCCAGTGGAATACTTAAAGCTTTTTAATTATGTGCCAGTAATGACATCCCAGCAGAATAGCAAAGCCTATTCTGTTCCATCTCTCTGTCTTCTTCTTCTGTTTCTATTTGCTTGTCTTTCTCCTTGTCCTGTATCTGACCAATACCTGACCTGACCTGTCCAGTACCTCTGTCCTCTGCCCCGTGTCTGACCTGTACCTCTGACCTCTCATATCCCTTTGACCTCTACCTCTGTCCTGTGTGTGACAAGTAGCTCTGTCCTTTCTGACCTGTCCTGTGCCTAGCCTTCACCTCTGACCTGTACCTCTGTCCTGTCCTGTGCCTAACCTTAACCTCTGACCTATCATGTACCTATGTCCTGTACCTCTGACCTATCTTTCTGACCTGTCCTGTGCCTAACCTTAACCTCTGATCTGTCCCTCTGTCTTGTCCCGCCTTCGTCTCCACAGACGTGATCAAGCTGCAGCTGGTGGAGGCAGGACTGGTAGAGTGCCTCTTGGACATTGTGGCTCAGACAGTGGACGGAGAGAAAGAGGAGGACATTGCTGAACTGAAGACCGCTTCTGACCTCATGGTCTTGCTGCTGTTAGGGGGTATGGAGAATGTGTTTTTTTCCCCTTCGTTTTAATGTAGCTGATCTATGTGAAGGTGATTCAGACATACACAATTCCCCCACCTGGGAACATAGAAATGGCTGTCCTTGGATTCAATGTATGGAAAAACAATTTGCTGCGATCATATAGTCCTTATAGTTCATGTTTTTCATGTTCTTTTTCTGTATATTATCAATATTTTAAAATCTGAAATTAATAAGTCTGCAGTGATAGAATCTAGAGAAATCTGCAACGAGGCTGAGCTGCTGAGTAGGTTGCTGCAGAAAGAAATGTCTTGCTGCTGCTTCTTTCTTGGGAGGCTTGGGGTTGCAGTTTATTTTGGAAGATGCAGCAGAGTTCGACTAATTAGCTGTGACCAATTAAGACGACGGCCCTGGAATGACAGAGTCTGATCCCGTGAGTGGGAGTGTTAGGGCGGCTCCTAAGGATTTCCTTGGCTTTGCCCCGGAGAAGCTTCATTCAGTGTGCGTCGCATGTTTCAGATGAATCCATGCAGAAGCTGTTCGAGGAAGGCAAGGGGAGCGTCTTCCAAAGGGTCTTGTCCTGGGTCCCATCACACAACCACCAGCTGCAGCTGGCTGGAGCCCTGGCCATCGCCAATTTTGCCCGGAATGGTGAGAACCCTCATTGTTTTCTTTTCGCTCAGAATGGTTAAATATCTCCCTTGTTGCAGTGAGGTGTCTTCTTACATTTCCCTTGCTTTGATTGACAAAGTTTATTAAGAGGAGGATTGGACCTGTACATAAGTTCCCAATAGCTGGCAAATTCACAGTATGTTAATCCTGGACGTGTGCATTATAATACATGCTCATAGCAACATTTCCAGAGCTGCTCTGTAAATCCTTCAGTGATATACATTGTGAGGATATAAAGGCATCACACAAAGCTTATTCTAGTGTTATGCCTGTTTTGTTTGGATTTTGATGTATTACCAGTTGTTTGTTAAAATGGAGGCGTGTTCTACAAGGCGTAGGTGCAACATAGTTCACCAGTCAATTGAAAATAGTTTATTACACTCAAGTTCATTTCATGAACTTACAGTGGTCACGAGTTGGTTTTTAAAAAGCAGGGCATCTGTGAAGCTTGTTGCTGCAGTAGCCATCTGGAGTAGACAAAGACCACACATTCCAAATGTGCCTGGTGCTTTGAGGGTAAGGACAGGTATTTTTAGGTGAAAGACAGCTCTGCTGTGATGCTGAATTGCTGCCCCTCTCTGTGATGTTCTTACAAAGTTAAAAAAGCGACAGTCTGCGGAAGATTTAAGAGGCTTAATTGAAATGTTCTGGGAGAGTGGTGAGAATATATTTTTGTAGAATCCACCCTCCCCCTCAAATCACTATACTGGAATTGGATAGATGGGTATTGGAATAGGTTGTGAAGAACATGACAAGAACAAAATACTTGTTTCTGAGTGAGTGATGTCTGCAATAGGAGAGGGAGGTTTATATACCAGTATCGTTTCTTAGTGGCCTTGAGATCTTTTACAATTGCATAGAAATAGCCATCTTGAGATTTGTTACAGAGTTCTGTGTCTGTCCATTCTCTTAAAGTGTCACTATACACTCTAAAAGGTTACTGTTCTGAATTTACCATATTATTCCTCAGCTTTGACCTACTTCAATATTACTAAGTATTTCAGAAAACTTCTAATACCTTTTTCAAAGTGGAGAATATGTACCAAAATGTGTAAAACCAAAAGCCAAGCTATGTTGAAATATGACTTTCAATTATACACATCAATTTATTGTAAATCATTTTTTTTCTTGTAATGTTTTCACAGAACACGATTTTGGAAATGTCATTCAATCTGCTGAGCTAACACTGATAAACAAGTCAGTGTGTTCTGTTCAAACCTTTTTTTAAACTTCAACACAAAGTTGTCTCATTTGAAATTTTCTAGAGAATGTTATGGAGTGAATATGTAAAAGGAAAGTCATTGTTCATCGTAAGTCATGGGCGTTTTTTTCTTTTTCTGTCCTCAGTCCATATTCTATAGACATTCCTCCTTTGCAGTTTGTGTATTAATATTTTAAAATGTATCTCTTCTCATCAAAACTGTGATCTTACAAAGAAGGTTTGTTACTGCTCTGGCATTTGCGGTTTAATGCTACAGAATGTGGTCAACGCATAAAGTAGCCAGTTTGTCTGGAGAATTTTGTATTATATTAAATGTATTCCACAGAAATTCAGCTCTGTGCCAGAGCCTTCATAACATGTTTGCCACAATTGATTCTGTAAGCAAGTAAAAAGAACAAATTGTAATAGGGGAGAATATTATACAGGACTATCGGCCATAAAAACAGGTGTTTCTGGAGTAAGGAAAACCTCCCTCCTGATAGTGGGCCAGTTTGATCCCTCTGTCTCTAGGAACAGAGAAAGCCACAGGCCTACTGCAGACCTCTTCATCCTGAATGAGCTCAGGCAGTCAATTTTCCGAGAGATTGCCTCCATTGATGCTGCGGCTTTGTGTCATGTCAGGATGCGCTGGCTATCGATGAGTGGATAATTGCTTGATACAAAATGGAGGTCACCCAGAACAGTTTTTCTCATTTAAATCCCGCCGTGGGGCTGATGTTTTCAATTTCAACTCATTGATGTCAAGACAAAAAACAAATATTGCTTTCGGCGTGCCCTCAGCCTCCCAGTCGAAAATGCAAGCATGGTAAAATAAATACCGCCTTCCCTTGAAGTGCCGTGCCATGCAAATTGATCAAAATTTCATCAGCTGTCACTGAGCTCTGTCTTTCCTTCTCCCGAGCATGCATCACTGAACACAAGTATGATCAATTTGTAATTTTGCACAGGAGTGGAGGAGGACAAGAACATGCACAATTAAGTGCAAAAAAGTTTGGCCTCAGTGAAACGAATAGCTGCCTCAGTGTTGTCATGATGTGGTGTCTCCTCGTATTCAGATGGTAATTGCATTCACATGGTGGACACGGGCATCGTGCAGAAGCTACTGGACCTTCTGGAGAGGCACGCAGAGGATGGAAATGTGACCGTTCAGCACGCTGCTCTCAGTGCCCTGAGGAATCTGGCCATTCCTGGTGAGCAGTATTGCACTGTGCACTCTTCATTTACAGCCCTGGCTCAGGATCTGAACAGCACATACAGTACCAGGCGATATCAGATTACCCACAGCTGTCGGTGCACAGCCAAGGCTGTTTTGGGGGCAAAGACGTTAAAAGGTCTCGTTTATCTCTCTGTTTTCACAAAATGTGCCCAAATGTTGAAAAACATTAGGGTGATTCCGTGTGTACTAGAAGTGTAATTGCAATGTATGAAGCAACATGCTGTCTGAACAAGTCATGTGTAAAACTGAAAATACGTCAGTCGTGCTGTTGAACTTTTCTTTTTACTTTTCCCCAGTGGTAAACAAGTCAAAAATGCTCTCCGCTGGAGTGTCGGATGTAGTTTTAAAGTTCCTCAAGTCAGAGATGCCTCCTGTCCAGTTTAAGTTGCTTGGGACACTGCGGATGCTTATAGACACACAAGGTAAGTTCAGTTCCCACCTGGCTGTTACAGGCTATCCGGTATAGGCTCGTGAGGGAACAGGAGCCTATCCCAGCAAGCAGCAAAAGCAAGGCAGCCTAGACCCTGGCCTGTACATCGCAGGGCACACATAGACACACATATTCACACCGGGGACAGTTTTCCCAGAAGCCAGTTAACCTTCCAGTATGTCTCTGGACTGTGGGAAGAAACCCACATGATCAAGAGGAGAACATACAAGATACTCCACACAGATAGTACCTCAGGAATTGAACCCAGGGCCCTAGAACTATAAATCAGCAATGTTAACCACTAAGCCACCCTGACATGTTCATGTGGTGTTGATTAATATTTAGAAAAACCCCCATGTTCTCCTTCGATTGAAAGTGGTATTAGACCGAAGGGGAAATGCAGGTATTGAGTAACAGGTACCAAAGGGTAGAATTAGTTTTGTGATTTGAGTGATGGGACCTCCAGGTGATACCCCTGCTGTAATCTAAACACCCTGACCCCATCCTCTCTCATGTGTGTTGACATCTGGAAACGCCATTCCTTTGCTTAACTGATTGGACTGATGCACAATGCTAATGCAGTGACTTACAAAGCGCAGAGATGTTTTATAGTGTGCTTTCAAAGCTGTGTGGATCCTAATGCCCCAGTACAAAGACAGGGACACTATATTGTAAAAACGCGCCATCCTTCAGTTGAGACGTAAAACCGAGGTCCCGATTCTATGTGGTCATTAAAAATCCCAGGGTGTTTCTCGAAAAGAGTAGGGGTGTTAAACGGTGTCCTGGCCAAATTTCCCCCGGCCTTTACCAATCATGTCCTCCTAATAATCCCCATCAGGCATGCCTGGCACTTAAACGTTTTGGCTCTGGTTGCTTCATGAGCTGGGGAGGAGTAAGTCTGAGCTACGGTACCTAGTTAAAGAGCGCAGCCTGGGTGATGGGTGGCGCCTGCCATGTTATCAAGGCATTTTCAGATCCACCGGGGAACAGCTGCACTCCGTCTGCTGCCTGGAAAACAACACTTCTCCCTGCCAAGCTGCATCAGTGCCTTGAACGCCTAATTAGCAGTCAGAAATGTGTGTGTTGGGTTACTCTTAACCTGTACAGAATTAAGAGAATTCAGCAGGAAACATCCCACAGTTGATCGTGTTGTAAGTGTGCTTAACCTGACCTGTTTTTTAACTTTAACACCGCTCATAATCACAATTCAGTTCAACTGGTGCTCAATTATACTTCAGAAATAAAGCTATGTGAGCAGGTAAAATCCTGAACTACAGCTACTATACTGAGGTTTGACTACAAAGGTTGAGAGAATTATCAAGCCTTTATATCCCCTAGAGAGTAGCAAGGCAGCCTCCTTGAGATACAGCTGGTGCTGCAGGCAGAGTACAAATACATTCATCTTAGAAGCAGGACCTCAGCTTTAGCCAACATTGTCATTTCACAGACTCTCTGATCCTCACAGATGTCACTCTCACTGTTGGCCTGTATCGTGATCTCGGCTCCACTCTTCTGTTCCTCCTCTGTGCCAGTCAAAGGTCTTCAGCAGGATGCGTTCTAAAAATAACATTTCCCACCAGTTACCTGCTGTGTTTCTGTGATACAGTCCTCTTTATCTCTTTCTAATCCCGTTTCCTCTTTGTCGGGAGAGGTGGATTTTATGGCACGAACACGATACAGCAGAAAGAGGTACCCGAGGAGTGAGGTAATGGTTGCCCAAGGGAACACGAGCGTGTTGCTGTTATTGGCACGGTGTTCCCAGAGCCAGCGAGGCGCCATCACCTCCTTCGCTTCACCTCGTTTCCTCTCGGGCGGCAGTCCAAATGTGGGCAGAGTCTCACTCCCACAGGGGCTCACAAGCGCTCGGCGCGATGTTCACCAGCACCAGGAGACGGAACTCCCTCAAAGCAGCTTTGGCTCAAGATTTTAAGACGTATCGCTGCTGTGATCAGACATTGTGCTGCCTGTCAGCTGGGTTTTCAGTGATCGTTGTGGCCACATCTGCTTCCCCGTGTACAGGGAAGGTGTTTGTCTTTGCTGAAGATTTCCGTGATTTCGTTTGATCCCCCTGGGGTGCTGCGTCTCCGAGATGTTGGTTACTGGCACTTGCCATCTTTTTTCAGTGCCTCAGCCTGTCTTTTTTGCAGCCCTGTCTTTTGAAGAGCACTTCCTGTACATGTCCTAACATGTTCATTTTGGTTTGAGGTGGGCAGAAATCTATTTTTTTAGGTTACAGAAATCTATTTTTTTAGGTTTTGATGCTGTGAAAAGGTAACTGCATTGCCAACCCATTTCAAGTTACATACGGGATTGCTTGAGAAACATTAAGTCGAAAATACAGTGATAGATATGTGGTTTTGTGACACTGCATCTTTAAGGGCCTTAATAGTACTTAAAGGAGATGGAAATCTTATAGGAGTCTTGTTATCAGATAGATTAAAATAGTTTGCTTGACAATGTATTTTACAATTCATCGACCCCATTCAGCCTTTTAAGGCTCAAAAAGCACCGACAATTTCCTTTTCAACCTCCCAAAGTTCCTTTCTGTGTTGTCTGTAATATGACAAGGTGTATAGAAAAAATTGTGTCAATGTATAAAAAAAAATCAGTAGAAAATTCTTTTTTTTTCTAAATAAATATATTCAAAACTGTCTCCTGGAGACATATTAAGGAAACCTCTCGCTTTGAGCAACAGGTACTCCTTTAAAAGAGTGGAGTCCTTTCAGCTCCATGCTGAGAGCTAATACAGGTCATGGCCGTGTGAAGGTTGAACTCGTAAGTCAGCAGAATGTCTCCCGTGGTAAAAACTCCACCATGCCTAACCTTTGTGATGTAAATTTTCAATTGTATCTTCATCAAGCAGTGAGGCTTCAGTACAGCTGTCATTGTGCTGCTGACCTCCTAGTGCCGGGCTGAAACTCTTCTTGCACCAATGTTGAACACGTGGCCAAGTCAATGGGGCTTGATGGCATCAAATATCATGCCACAACGGCCTGATACCCCCCCCCGAAACATAATCAAAGGATGCTTCCCTCTCTTGGCAAAGAAATAGAGGAGCTGGTATTATTGAGCTTCATAGACGGCACTGGAATAGACCTACCAGCTTCACAAGCCAAATGCATTCATGTAGGTAGAAGTATCGATTCAGTTTGCATCAGTAAGAAGCAGGAAACTACATGACTGAGTTTTCCTGTTGCAGCCTTAAAGCTGGTTGGTTGTATTTGCTTCCGAACAGGTTTTGAAAAAAGCTGCTCTCGAACTGTTTTTACATCTGTGTTTTAGAACTGATTCGGTCGTCCATCAACATAATTTTAATATGCATGACTGCGGAAACAGAAGTAACGAAGGCATTTTTCATGCTTTATATTGCTTGTTTGGTTTTGGATATGTCCTCTGTGCACGTGCAGTGGATTGATCCTTCTTGTTCTGTAATGCGGACACGTGCTATCAACCAGTCTGTGAAATTTTGTTTCATTACTCACATGGACAGGCTAACATATTGCTTCAATCCCTAACCGCTAATTTAAAGTTTTTTTTTTTGCAAAACACCAAAATGTTCAAAAGCATTGAAGAAGGAAGGGGGGGGCTTTGGTCACAATTTCCCAGAATCTTCATCCATTTGCCTGATCAGAGGAATTGTGAAGCACCTTGGAAAATTTAAAATTTATGGCAGTACTATCCCACACCAAACTGTTTTTGTGACATAAGGAAAGAGAATTTCTCTTCTTTGTTCACATAAAAGTTGAAAAGCAAGCTCAGCTCCGAAAGTCATTTCTTAATTTTAATGATGTGAAATAAAAAAGAAAAGGCAACCATCACCAGTTTGTTCTGGCCCAAGAGACTATTTTATTGGCGAGTTTAGTAAATGTTGTTTTAAATGCCTTGAGCAATCCCGCATAACCATAAACTTTTTTAATGACACAGGGCTTATTCTAGGCTTATCTCTGAATACATTTTCTGTGATGTCTCAGCATCTATAAATAATGTATGGTATCTCAATAGAAACTGGGCTAGTCTGCATAATGAAAACAGCACAGTCAGGAAAGCCAGAAATTTTCAGAGCTGTGCGGATTTGTACGAGGAAGAAACACAAATGGAATAAGAGGCTTAATCATTCGAAAAGCTCAATTACACATCAGAAGTGCATTCCAGGAGCATTCCTGCCCAAGTGTTGAATCACAGAGTGAGTCACCCACATTACAGCCAACCTTTAAAGACTCTTTCACAGCTTTAATTAATAAATGTTATCTTTTTTTTATTGCTTTTTCTGAATATAAGATATTTTGAAAAGTTAACACAGCATATTTCAAATAAAATGATCCATTTATGATCAAAAGAAAAAGTACTCTGTGTCCTTGTAACATAATCGTCAAAAAGCACAAAACACAACAAATACAGTAAGTAATTCTTTGTAATAGTGGTGCATTGTCTTTCAATAACTCAGTAGTGTTAATATTTCAGTATTTCAAAATAAGAAATCTGACCTGCCACTGCAAATAAGTTTGACACCCCCTGAGTTAAGAGCTTTAGTGATTATTTAGTTATTCGCTACTTTTAGCCTTTTATTTTTCCTGGCAAAGTGTGTCGATAAGATTTCTGGAAAAATTAAATGTTTAGACTTTCAGCTTCCACAGATGGCCTATTGGGGATTTTGTAGTTTGTACAGAGACCATTGTTGAAAAATGTGTAAATGTTGGGTTTGTTGTGTTTTTTTTAGAGTACTGTAGGTCTTCCTTAAGAGCTTTACTGATATTTGTTTTGAACCTTCAGGTGGGACCGTTAACTGAGCCTGTAAATTGTACTGTAAGTCTTATCTTACAATCCAGAAGTCTGCAGCATGAGGAATCTAAGGTCAACACAGAGGGGATATGTGTTTAATGTCTCTCACTAACAGGTCGAATTCCTTTCAGGAATTCTGTATATTCTCCCTTGCATGAATGAATCTTTCGTTTCCACATTCCCAAGACACAAATAAGCGACAGTTACCCAAACTCTTCATAAAAGCCTGATACACGCCGTGACTGTAACTGAATTTGCGTCAGCCTAGCCTGATGCATGGTCTTTTCTCTTGTGTCTTAGCGGAAGCTGCAGACCAGTTGGGGAACAATGTGAAGTTAGTAGAACGGTTGGTGGAGTGGTGCGAAGCCAAAGACCACGCTGGAGTGATGGGAGAATCCAACAGGCTTCTCTCTGCGCTGATTAGGCACAGTAAATCAAAGGTCAGTTTCACAGCACCGAAGTACAGCACACTGTTTTTCAGCTTTATCCGAGACCTTCAAATCTGAGTTTTCTACCCAGAAACAACTACGGTTTGTCTGGGCAAAATTTCTTTTCGCTGACAGAAAAAAATAATTTTGGTGGAGAGCTGAAATGCTGTGTAAGGTAATATGCTTTTGGTTTTCAATCAGCTAAAGCTATATAAGCAAAGTGAAAGGGAAATGCTGACTATGGAATGACACGGCAGTTAAACCTAAAGATGTTCTCATCTGAATTTTGTTATTGAAAGGCAAGATGCTGACTGTTCTTCACGTTATGTGTTTTGCTTTCCGCTTCTTTCTGCTCCAGGATGTTGTCAGGACAGTTATCCAGTGTGGCGGCGTGAGGCACTTGGTAACCATGGCAACAAGCGAGCACATGATCATGCAGAACGAAGCCCTGGTTGCCCTTGGACTGATGGCTGCCTTGGACTTGGGTAATCTAACGTGCGCCGGCTCTGATGTAACCAGCAAGTCCCAGTCCTCATTTCAGTGTACAGTGTATTCCATTGCACGAACAGGGAGATACTGCATGATACTGTATTCTTTCTTACGCTGGAGTCGGCCTGGTGATTAGGAGGCCAAGGTTTTCACTGGAATGACGGTTACGGCTTTTTCAACACTATTACATATAATTTTGCAAACTGATAAGGGACGATGGGAGGTTGTGTCCGTAGTGCCTCGTCGCCTGCCTGTGAGAGGACATTGTCAAGGAGAGGAGCAGATTGTTCCTTCAGTCGGTGTACTTTTCCTGTTAGCTTTTGTAGGGTTTGCAGGATAGTTGTTTGGCAACTGGCAATTCCAAACTGGGAGGGTATCAGAATACCAAAAATAATTAGGCGATTTCAGTCTGTAAAACATTCATTTTATGTTCATTTTCTCTGTGTTGTTTTGTTTCTTCCTTGTTAAGATATGTTAACATATCTGAACCCTCACCGTCCTTCACCTCGAGGCGGTTTCTACCCGAGTCTCTCGCAGAGCTGTGGAGGGCAGCATCTTATTCGATTTGGTTTTGGGCTTTCCCCATCGTCGAAGCGCAATTCTGTTTTCTGTTTTCTGTTTGATCCAATTTAGGATCGCCAGTTAACCGGTTCAGTTCGTTGCTACAATCCCCAACTCCCCGCCCAGCCCCCACCACTGCATCGCCGCACCCACCTGTCAGTGCCATTAGTCCTTTGTCACTCTGCGAGGTCCTCGGTAACCGTGCGGGATACTCAGTACTGAGTGTCAGAGCGACATGCCTCACACCCTTGTCAATGCCAGCCCCCAGACATCCAGCAGGTCCCAGGCGTCACAAGCTGAGGAAACTCTAGTCGTGCCTTGGCTACACAGTTGTGTCAATTATGTCTCACCGTCTGGGGAATATTCCGGTCGCAGTCCGTTGACTCGAGCTGGTAGCGCCTGCACTGCTATAACTCTTTACTCGCATTCAAAACAAGGCCCTTCACGCACCTTGGTTCACCGCAGCATCTGTGTCCTTGCACTTTTTTGGAGGGAAATACTGGCTCCATGTGGGAAACACAAAACGGAATTACAGACATGGGAGTGTTTTTTGAAGTCGAATTCTTCTTTTGGGGCCTTCAGAGAGTTAACTGACAAAAGTAAAATAACTGAATCTGTAAAGCTCATCCCAAGCCCTGTTACTCAGTTTAATTGTAAAATAAACTCCTGTTAGGAGCTCATTGTAGATAAAATATCTTAAAACGTAGTTGATCTTACATTGCGCTCTTAACAAAGTGTCTTTTTGCTGATTTCTGTGTTTCGGAAGGTATGGCAGAGAAGGACTTTGAGAGTGCTGATCTGGTGCAGGTGTTGCACAAGCTGCTGTCGGATGAGAAGAGCGCCCCAGAGATCAAATACAACTCCATGATCCTCATCTGTGCTCTCATGGGCTCTGGTAAGTCCGGCTTGTTCATTGTTGATCTCAAGAACTCTGGCCTCTCTAGTATGTGAAAACCAGTGTGTACCACTCTTTCTATCTGGAATTAAATTTGTAATCAAAGGGGTTTCTCTTACAGCGCACCGGTTTGCGATACTGATGGAGGTAATACCTGGTTGTAGTAATGTGAAGCGCTTAACTAATTCTAGGGCTTAACGACCGAACCATGCCTTTCCAATAGTTTGTGACCCTGTCCTGTAGAGAAAGCAAAGCGATTAGAATTCAGTTACCTTTGAAAATCCTCTTTCATGTGTTTATTTCCTGGATTGCACGGTATTATAACATGTGACTGTTTGTTTTTTTTAACTCCTCCTTCCCCACAGAACCTCTCCACAAGGCAGTGCAGGGCTTGACGTTTCTGGACGTTGTGTCAAAGCTACGATCCCACGAGAACAAAACAGTGGCCCACCAAGCGTCGCTGACAGAGCAGAGGTTAACAGTACAGAGCTGAAGGACTCTTCCTCCTCTCCCCCCCCCGTCTTCATGCCCCTCGGTCCCACGTCATGTCACAGGGTTCCCCTCTCTGTCCACCGTCAGCTGTTCCTGCTAACACCCCTAGTCCCCCACCCTTTATACTACTCGTGCATGCATTTACAAGTCTGCGCAGTTAATTCAGAACGATGACACTATAGGTCACCTTCTTAAATAGAAAACAGACACACACACACACA